AGCCTTTATCTCGTATATCTGATCAAACAGGAATAAACATCACGTTAGATCATTGTAGCAACACGGTCCCTCAACCAATAATTTAAGCCCGTGGGGCATAGCGGATGCACACCTCAACCCCCGGACTTCTCCGAGGGAAAAATGTTTTATTAACAAAAGAAACATCGGGTTACAGAAGACTCACCCACACCATCGATTAGGCCGTAGGGGCGGCCCTCGATGATGTTCACAAGACACATACCTTTACCTGTGGATCAGCCCAAACTCTGCCGGCTGTCCACCCCCTACATATATGCGAAAACAAAATAACAGAAATGCTACCTATAGACGTTGAAAAGCTCGAACAGGGGACATTAAGACATATCCCCACTCCCTACCTAAAACATTGAAATGCTTGAAAAGAGGACAAGCTTATTCTACCCTGCCACTAGGCCCTATACATGGTTGGCCTTGGCATACGTATCCGGTTGTGGCCATATAAGAAAAGGGATGGCCACGACATTCTACCCCACCCATTTAGTCGATGTCCTCATCGACGAGTGCTTCTCGAACCTTTTCCTTTTGACGTTGTGTTGAGGACTTCTCTCTTGGTAAAATTCTTCCTTTCCAACTTCGGCAGCAAGGTTGTCGGCACTACACATGGGATCTCTCCCAACAGCATCAAACAACTTGTAGAAGGCATCGGAATAACTCGTGCTGATATCATAAAGTTGATACCTAAGACAACATCAAAATCATCCATCGGAGATATGGTAAAGTCAACTTCCCCCTCCCATACTCCTAGTTTTATCTTCACATTCTTAGCGGTCCCACATATCGCCACGGCGGACGAGTTCACTGCCTTCATCTGCCCCTCTTCCTTGATAACATTCAACCCGCACCTCATAGCTTCCTCAGGGGAGATGAAAGTGTCGGTTGCTCCAGTGTCCACCAGGGCCCTTGAAGTTATTCCATTCACTACGAGATCCACATACATGAGGCCCCTAACTGGCTCTTTCCTTAGCCTACTAACTTGAGTTTGTAACGCACACAAGAATCGAATCGAACCCATTCTAGCTGGTTCATTTTCAGTATCCTCTTCTGATGGATCTTGTTGTGATTCATTCCTCGATGTGTTCACAAGCGCATTGAAAGCCCTCCTATGCGGACACTCAGCCAATCGATGAGAGCCTTTACACAAATAGCACTCCAAGGATGATCTGGGTCTTTCCCCACTTTGCCTATGCCCATTCTTAGGATGTGAATCCACAGTTTGCCTCGGTTTATCGCCACTCTGCCTATACCCATTACTTGATGTATTTGGTATTGGGTCTCGGAGAAAAGGCCTCTTATCTGTTTCCCAACTGAAAGCTCCATCCCTTCTGGCCACCTTATTCCCATTACTAAAATTAATACCACCATCACCCCTAAATATATTGTCCTCTCCTTGATAGGGGCCTTTTCGCTTGACTATAACATTAGTATAATCGCTGAGACGCTCAGCGGCATTCATAGCTTCAGACACATCCTCTACTCGTTGTCTCTGGATCTCTGTTCTAGCCCACGGTTTGAGCCCTTCCAGGAAATAGAACATTTTGTCGTTTTCAGCCATGTCTCGGATGTCTAGCATCAATGTTGCAAATTCTCTCACATATTCACAAACAGTTCCTGTTTGTGTTAGTCCCCTCAGCTTCTTTCGTGCATTGTACTCCACATTCTCCGGGAAGAAGGTTTTCTTCAATTCTTTCCTTAAATCATCCCAAGTATTGATGGAACACACGCCGTCAACAAACTTGGATCGCCACCATAATTTGGCATCTCCTGCAAGATACATTGAGGCCATAGAGACCTTGTCCTCTTCGGAGTTAGCCTGCATCACTTTAAAATATTGCTCCATGTCAAACAAGAAATTCTCCAACTCTTTAGCATCCCTGGTCCCGCCAAACCGCTGAGGTTCCGGTACCTTGACCCTTTGACTTTTGTCAACAATGCCCGAACCCAGATTACCCACAGCGAGTTGAATTAAATTGACTTGAGCCTTGAGTTCGTCGAACGACTCTAACACAGAACTGATAGCATTTTGCGCTTCAGCCTTAAGTTCGTTTAAGGCTTCTGAGAGTTGAGCTTGGGCTAACTCAATCACTCGAACTCGATCCTCCGAAATCATTCCAGCTTTTAGTGCCGCTAATTCGGCTTCTAAACTCTCAATTCTGTTCTGGTCTACAGAACCGTTGGAACGTGTTCCAACCATTTTCCAATATCTGTTAGGTAACACTGTAAAAACAATAATAATCACAAGTAAGCACCAGAATCCTTGGAATATAATTTCTCACAACACAAATTCTTTCAGCATCTTCATGCCAAAAGTATCGCCTTGATGTCAAGAACACAAATAAGCATTCTCGCACAAATGTTACCATAAAGCACCTCCGTGCTACATAAAGCAAGATCCCCTTGCCAAACAGTGTTATTACATGAGCTTGTATTGTTACTCAGATGAAGATATCCCTGTGCAGTTTCACAATTGAGCACTATTGTGCCTAAATCATTTTATTTCACCCGGCCTACTCCACACGTTAAGGCGCTCGGCGTAAGATCAGGTCATCCTGCCTACTCCCCTCTGGAAGCGCTCGGCATAAACTCTGTCTACCCTGCCTACCCCACACGTTGAGGCGCTCGACCTGATATTAAAGCGCATTATATTTCACCCGACCTACTCCACACGTTAGGGCGCTCGGCGTAAGACCAGGTCATCCTGCCTACTCCCCTCTAGAAGCGCTAGGCATGAACTCTGTCTACCCTGCTTACCCTACACGTTGAGATGCTCGGCGTGAATCTGGGACACCCTGCCTACTCCATACGTTAGAGCGCTCGACGTAAGATCAGGTCATCCTGCCTACTCCCCTTTGGAAGCGCTCGACATGCACTCTGTCTCCTCTGCCTACTCTCAACGTTGAAGCGTTCGGCGTGACATTAAGGCACATCTTATTTCACCCGGCCTACTCCACACGTTAGAGCGCTCGGCGTAAGACCAGGTCATCCTGCCTACTTCCCTCTGGAAGCGCTCGGCATGTACTCTGTCTCCTCTGCCTACTCTAAACGTTGAAGCGCTCGGCGTGACATTAAGGCACATCTTGTTTCACCCGGCCTACTCCACACGTTAGAGCGCTCGGCGTAAGACCAGGTCATCCTGCCTACTCCCCTCTGGAAGCGCTCGGCATGTACTCTGTCCCCCCTGCCTACTCTCAACGTTGAAGTGCTCGGCGTGATATTATAACACCCTGCCTACTCCACACGTTAGAGCGCCCGGCGTAAGATCAAGTCATCCTGCCTACTCCCCACTGGAAGCGCTCGGCATGAACTCTATCCCCCTTCCAACTCTTAACGGTGAAGCGCTCGGCGTGAAAATAGGAATACCCTGCCTACCCCATACATTAGAGCGCCCGGCGTAAGATCAGGTCATCCGGCCTACTCCCCACTGGAAGCGCTCGGCATGAACTCTGTCCCCCTTCCAACTCTTAATGTTGAAGCGCTCGGCGAAATTCCTTAAAAGAAATAAGAACACATCTCATCTACCACGAATCATTCGGCTCTGATACCAAATGTCACGGACTTACCTTTTCCAACTAGATTTGTAATCCGTGCGGCACCTGAAAAGGGACTCTTCCCAAGTCAAGTCAGCCTTTATCTCGTATATCTGATCAAACAGGAATAAACATCACGTTAGATCATTGTAGCAACACGGTCCCTCAACCAATAATTTAAGCCCGTGGGGCATAGCGGATGCACACCTCAACCCCCGGACTTCTCCGAGGGAAAAATGTTTTATTAACAAAAGAAACATCGGGTTACAGAAGACTCACCCACACCATCGATTAGGCCGTAGGGGCGGCCCTCGATGATGTTCACAAGACACATACCTTTACCTGTGGATCAGCCCAAACTCTGCCGGCTGTCCACCCCCTACATATATGCGAAAACAAAATAACAGAAATGCTACCTATAGACGTTGAAAAGCTCGAACAGGGGACATTAAGACATATCCCCACTCCCTACCTAAAACATTGAAATGCTTGAAAAGAGGACAAGCTTATTCTACCCTGCCACTAGGCCCTATACATGGTTGGCCTTGGCATACGTATCCGGTTGTGGCCATATAAGAAAAGGGATGGCCACGACACGTCAGCTCCCTTCCGGTTGAATATTGGTTTGTTTGGTTTTTTCCACTCATTTTAGTTTTGGATTAAGTTATTTGTAGAAGAATAGGCTGTTATAAAATAAAATATTAGCATCAATTGAGAAAAATAATTCAAATGAAATAAATTAAACTATAATTGACTCTTGATCAGTATAATAATTGAAATGGATATCAATTTATGAAATTAAATAATTCTTTAATATTCGTACACTCGAATATCAATTGTTAAAATCAGTCAATATTTCTATTTTCGATAAATAAAAATATAACTCGAAAAATATTTTTCGCCCAAATTAAATCTGGCATCGGAAAAAATACAAAAAATAAAAAGGATTTTTTCGTGTAAAATTAAGAGAATATTGAATCATATATTAAAAGTGAAATAATCTTTTATGGGCTCAAAAGCCTCTTAAAATCCATCTCAGGTGTGAGAGATTGTTTTTCTTGGTAAAGTGATTACTACATTATATTTATACGTCCGAGGCTGCCCGAACAACATGGTATCTTTAACAAGGCTATAATGTTATAAATTTACAAATACGCATACGGTTAGGAAGAATACATCATATATTTCGAATATTTTTTTAAAGATGTCACATTGTCCGAACGATCTTTATATACATAGTAACAATTACTTTATTTAAGAAAATAATTCTACTCACATCTGTGATAAAAAAAATCCCATCACAATGTCTGAGCAATTTTTTCTTTAAAATGATTATAGAAAGTCAATAATGTAGCAATTCCATCTACAAATAAACCTAATATCTTTTGCTTCAAAATCATGATCACAAAAACAATAAATAATCTTTATATCTTCAAATATGTTCATATTCTAAGAAGAAAAATGCTGAGTTCAGGGCCAACATTGCTATCAAGATTCACCATGTAAAACGCTTCTGAATCACGATTCCCCACCACTCGTTCAAACTTAGCCCTCATATACAACACCTCACCTTCACCCCCACCATCTTTCCCTGCATCCTCTACCGCCGGAATAACCCCGGCCCCCACCGACACGCTTTGCATGGTGCTCAACACGTGCCAATATGACTCATTGCATGTGCGCCCCACCGCGTAACCGTTCTTCCTCCCGTTACAATACATGGTCCACACAGGCTCGTGCAACAGCTTGCCGGTTCGACTTGGAACCTTCTTGCACTCGAGCGCAATCCGGAGCAAACCCGACGACATTTCTTTGACCAAACTAGAGGTAGACATGGCCAGTTCCAGTAGCAAAACCGGTTCAGACCGAGGATCATCCTGGACGGCGAAGCTGAAGTGCCCCCGGCGGTTGCCAAAGAGAGTTCCCATTACTTTACGGCCAATGGTATGTGTCAGAGAGAGGCGAGTTGGGACGATATTGGGGAAAGCCATCATTTTGATAAAGGAACGGAGGAGGGAAGAGAACCTGGAACGAACACTGTGGAAACTTTGGAATGCAGAACGTGGGGACGATGAAGAGGAGATTGATCGAAGGAGTTTATCAGAGATTTCTGGGTTTTCAGCAGGAATCGAGAGGCAAGTAGTAAAGTTCGATGGGGTGATATTCTTTCCTGCGCTTTTGTAGTTGAAATTGTTGAAGCTTCTGCTGCTTCCAAGGGATGCGAGTTCTTGATGGGGTTTCATGGTAAACTCACAGAATTTAAGAAAATGGAAGATTATCATAATGGTGGTTTTATTTCTCAATTCTCACGCATAAGGCATAACCCAATGTATTATTTATATATATATACAGACTGTGTTTTTTGCAATAGGCTTGCATGTTCCACGTCTATCAATGCCAGGATGTAAAATACGCTTTTTACATTACAATACCTTTTCTATAAAGGGTAAATTGCACTATTAGTCAATAAATTTTGACTTCATTTATTTTTAATCATCAAACTATGAAAATTGTAATTATACGTTAATGTTTCTAATTTTCTTTTTAATTATTGGATTGTTAATGCTTTCACGCCATATGGCATGGTGTTTTCTTTCTTTTTTTTTTTTTTTGTAGAAACAATGATATTGGCATATTCTTCAAGTCACTGCTGTGCACCATCATTCGTTTGATAATGAAATTTTGATAATCAAAATTTAGATTTTATAATACTTCAATCTTTATTTATGGTTGTTTTAGTCTAAGTTTTATACATATTATTCGTTTTCTCAAAATAATAAATTATACTGTTTGAATTTTCAAATAATCACCCCAAATTTGTTCAATCTCAAACCCAAAAAAGAGATTTTGTTTTGAAGTTTTATGAACTTAATTTAAATTTTTTTTAGAAAAACTTAAACCAATAAAATAATGAAAAATAATAAGATGAGTTTATTAGTGTTTAGAGTAACATGAGAAAATGTTAGAGAACAAAAATTTCATTAGAGGTGGTGGAAAATAGGAGAAGAAAACCTTAAGAGATTTTTTCTAGAAGATGATGAAAAACAACAAAATATTTTTGTTTCGTTTTGGTCACTAAATTATTTTTAATTCAAAATCATATATTATTACGTTCTGATTTGATTTTGGTCATTCACACTTAAAAAAATAAAGATGATACTGACATGCCACACCATAAAAAAATGTCATATCAATAGTTTTGTTAACTTTTTAACAATGAGTGACGAAATAAAATCAAAACTTAATATTATTTGTGTTTTTAGAAAAAAAATAATCGAATGATCAAAATGAAACAAAAATGATAGCTAGAAACTAAACGTGCAATTTATCCAAGAATTTGACTTCCATGTGATCCAGACAGACTTGTCGATTTTTCTAAAATGACATCGTTTTAAGATCCAAAGAGTCTTTCCGAAATGACATTGTTTCATAGGCTTTAAATACCACAATTTAGGGATTTTTACCTTTCATTTTCTTTCTCCTCTCTTTAGCCTTCTCTCCCACTTTATTCTCTCTAGAATTCTAAAATTTGATCATGTCCACCACTGTGAGCAACATTGCTCGCCGTTGTATATCGCACCAGTAGCATCGCCGCTCATCGTCATACATCATAAACATATCCGTTTTTGAGATTTATGTGGCCTTAGGAAAAATAAAAAAGTTAGACTTTTATTCCGATTGTTTAATTATTTTTTTTAAATCATATCTAATATTACATTTTTGGTCACATATTGTTAAAAAATTATTAGCAATACTGACGTGATATTTTCTAAATTTCTTAAATGATGATGTGACATTATCTTACAGTGACATGTCAATATCATTGTTCATTTTTTAATAGCAGATGACCAAAATGAAGCAAAAACTAAATGTTAGATTTGATTTAAAAAAATAATTGCATGACCAAAACTGAACAAAAGTAATAGTTGATGCACTAAACATGTATTTTACTTGTTTTTTAATTAGAATCCTGGGTAGGTACCCCTCCTGCCCTCGACACTTTTCCCCTTTTTCTAGTTTATTTATTTTTCTTTCACTTCATTCTTTTAACCTTTTCTGTTTGGTTGCGGTTTGTAGACTTCCTTACTGGTTTAGGACGCACATGAGGGTTTGAACTTATAGTTTTGGTATAGAAATAAAATCAAATGAAACACGCTAAAAACATTGTTCATTAACTTAATAGATCATATATGTTTATCATTCTTCATATTTTTTATTAAGAATTTATAACAAATAATCTCTTTATATTGGAAAAAAAAACCCAACAGACTTAACTAAACTTGCATGGACTACGTCGTGGCCTCCTGAAGCAGCTACAAAACCTCCGGTGGTGGTGAGTTGCCCAGGCGAACTTCATAGTCTTTCCTCATTAACGTTTTTTGCCATAACGTCGGCTATTTGTATTTCCTTCTCGTCTTATATGTTGAACTTTGACACTCCATTTACGTCTAAGCAGCTCATATATGTGCTGTAATAGAGAAGAGCTTCCTAGTTGATCTTACCTCCTTGCAGAAGTCGAAAGGTATCCATTGAATCCAATTCTAACAGAATCTTACGCAACCCAATGTCCCAAGCGCAAGAGAGTCCCACAAGTGTCCCTCATAGTTCCGCCTCAAGTATCGAGCAAATTCCAATGAATTGTGCAAATCCTAATTTCCAGTTATCGTTTGAGTCACGCAGTACCCCTCCACAAGATGCAATGTCATCATTCGGACTTCTTGCACCATTCCACATCCAGTGGATTTCAGTGAGCTGATTCTTGCACCTTAATTGGGTCTTGTATTGATTGGCTTCTACTTTCTTCCCGTGCTTTACAAGTCAATATTTGTAGATGTTTGCTTCGCTCAGGCACTAATCATGTATCTTCCGTTGGATTGTCAAACGTGATTGAGTTACGTTCCATTCATAAATTCCAGCACATTGCCAATCGTTGTTAGAAGAATTTGAACTGATATAAATTAATTTAAAATCTAAATATCATGTTTTATTTTAAAGTTTCAACACAATTTTAGTGAAGATGCTAAACACATATATTGTTTTTATGTTTTTAAATTTTCACTCATTTTTATTTTTATTTTCTGAAAATTATTTTTTAATTTCATAACCAAACATATTTACTTTTAACGCTTTTTATTTTCTAAAAAATAAAAATAATTCGTAATTTTTTAAAACCAAACGCTTGCTTAATTTTTAATTGATTGAACTTTTTTAACAAGTTATCAAATAAATATTTAATTTTCTATGTAATATAAAATAAAATAAAAATATTATAATATTAAAAATGGGTTGGACTTATTAGATTCCAAATCAATCTATATTTTAAACTAATATAATTTTATTTAAATTCTTTTTTGAGTTTAATATTTTTGTTCAAAATTTTGAATAAACTTGGAGCACCAATGCTTGTTGGGTTGTATGACAAATATAAATATTTTACTGGAAAGGTAAACTCTGCTGTAGACTATGAGTGCACACACCGCAGATTTCAAATATTCCACGTGGCATATGCAACGGACAGGATTGTCCCCCGCGTGGTCCTACGTATTTGAATTCAAATTTCTGCTCTAAAGTTAACGTTACGATTTTGAACTCCAGAGCTTCGGATCCTTTCCAAAAACCGAAGCCAGGACCATTGGAAGAAACAAAATTAGAAGATCGCAATATCAAAGCAAACACACAAAGAGAGAGAGAGAGAGAGAGAGATCCCACAGACCAGAATTAAACATCCTAATTTGACTGCGGCTACAGCATTTCTCTCCTTACTCTACAAATTTTTTGTTTTAAAAGATTCCCAAAAGTATGTTCCTTCTCTCAATTCCCCCCCCCCCAAGTTTTAGTTTTTAATGTATACGGAGAAGAGTGGATTAATGGGTTTTGTTGCCTTGTTCTGATATGATGAGTTTGATTTGATATTTGAAAGGAAGAACAGAAGAAAGGGATTCGAAATGGAGACTGTTACAAGAACTGGATTCCAAGACCTCAATTTGGCTTCTAGGAAAGCCGAAGAAGCCGGTTCGTTTTCTTTACTCCTTTCTTTTTATGTTATCAAGGGATTGGAATTTGGAAAAGAAACAAGAAAGTCGATTTCCACTTCTTTTTTTTCATTGCAAATTACGGTTCCTTTATTTAAGAAAAAAAGTTCGATGATATTCAAAAGTATAGTTTTTTTTGTCAATGAATTTGCAAAAAAAAAACAGATGATATTCATTGTTTTTTGTAGCTTTGAGAAGATACGTGGCTTTTGCTTGGTTAGAAACCTTAATTGGCCCACTGGGGATATCAGGCCAGCCATCAGAGAAAGAGTTCATTTCTTGCTTGAGAAATGGTTTGATTCTTTGCAATGTCATTAACAAGATCCATCCTGGTGCAGTCGCCAAGGTATCATCTGTTTTACTATCTTTTGTTCCACGTTTAGTTCATTCGTATGTTATAAAATTGACACCTTTCCCATGAATTTTAAGGTTGTTGAGAGCAATTCACATGCACAATCATTCAACAGGGAGTTTCAGCCTCCACGAGCCTATCAATACTTTGAAAACGTTAGGAATTTTCTAGTTTCCATTGAAGAGCTTAAACTGCCAGCATTTGAAGCTTGTGATCTCGAAAGGGTAAAGTCGGATTCTACATTGAATAATTGTTGTAGTTTTTGGTCACAATTTTATGTTGAAAATCATAAACGAAGTCAATTATAATGGACCAGGACAAAGTGGAGGCAGGGTCTGCAGCTAAGGTTGTGGACTGCATATTAGCCCTGAAGTCATACCATGAATGTAAGCAGATTAATTGTGGAATTGGTAATGGATATTATAAGCTTACAAGGTCTCCCATTGTTATGCATTCTTCCGCTAAGATCCACTCGCTAGCGTCATCAGAATCTTGTAGGCGGTTGGACATGTCTGCTGCTGGTGATAAACAACCACCTGCCCATGATGAAAACCATAAACTTGAAGGTTTTGATTCGTCTTTCTTTGATGTATTTCTTTCCCATTTTGTCAGAGGCTTTCTTGATTCTTTTAATTAGTAACTAAAAATGAAATGTGCATTAGTGTTTAAACAAGATAATTAGTACTACAAGCTTTTGTTACTAAAACTATTTATATGCATTTCTTTTCACATATGTATCATCCAAAGAAAACAGTGTTTTAGCGAGAATATTAATCAAATTCCTTATTAATTTACGTCTGTGTGATGCATGTGTTTGCAGACACAATTGTGAAGTTACTTGCTGACTACATGGTTGAGG